GTGGGCATGCAGGTCCTGCTGTGTAGCGCCAACGAGATGGCGGTGGTGCGCTACCTGGGCGCGGCCAGCTTCGCACCCGGGCTGTGGCTGGGCCTGGAGCTCCGCGGGCCCAAGGGTAAAAACGACGGCTGCGTGGAGGGACGCCGCTACTTCAGCTGCCGGCCGGGGCATGGGGTCATGGTGCGACCCAGTCGGGTGACCTATCGAGGCATAAATGGGGCCAAGCTGGTTGATGAGCTCATCTGAAGAGAGGGCTTCTGTGCTCAGCTGGCTCCGGGGGGGGGGGGGGGGTAATGATCTGCAAGCCACGGCAATCGACTACACACTAGTGACTTAACGTTCTGTAATAAAATTTAGTTTATTACTGTTCCTTGGTGATGGAGAGAGCAAAGTGCCGGAAGTGACTAGGAGCTCTTAGACAAAATGTGATTTATTGGAATGAGACTTTCCTGGAATGAGACGTACCAGGATGTACAAGAGATTCCCCCTAAATCTCAGTGCTGGACCCTGCTCACCTCCATCTGGTGCTTGTACTCCAAGGCGCAGTCAGACTGGCCTGGTCTCAGCAGCGGCAGGGAGAGAATCTCCACACACACTCAGATTTCGGCAAAACTCCCATAGCACTTTCAAATGGCTCGTAGCACGTTGTTAACCTGATATAGCAACTGTAGGACTTAACTACTGATCTCTACTGAAACAGGCAATGGGAGACTTGGCTTATAATGTGAATGACTATCATTGTCCTATAAAGAGTTAGAGACCAACAGCACTTTATTAATATTTTTGCTGAAAAGTTTGAGAACTGTCATCCAACAGATTTAGCTGTGATGTTTCTTATTTTGGACATGCGCCAAATGTCAGGGTTATCTGACCAAAAAATGTAAATTATGTTGTTCTACTGTTCAGTTGTTTTCAGGGTGTGGTGAGAGTGGAGCTAAATCACAAAGATGTTATTAATTATGGTTTGTTTCATTGAGTAGAATAGGGGAACTTAAATGTCACCAGTAAGGATGGGTCTCATAGTCATGTGACTGTCATGATCGATCTTGATCTTGGGGAAGATCTCCGGCCAGGATCTCACGCCTCCTTCACACATACCTGCAAAAGCTTCTTCAGCCATATGACGCTGATAATTGGAGGCCTTAAGCAAACCACTGTTCATGCTGTCTTGGTTCTCTTGGTCGGGGTAGCAGCACTGAGGGATTTTATGCAATAGCACTTGATGTTGAAACACGTGTTCAGGGCTGCGACATGGTGTGGCAGGCCGCCCAGCATGGAGCCGTGTATCTACCAGGAGGTTGTTGGGTCTCTTGTAAAGGAGGCGCCGCCGTCCTTGGTAGTGTGACAGCCGTGAGTCCCGATTACTCGCATCACTGCACTGCTTAGTTCTTCCAATCTGGATTGTCCACTGTATGTATGTAAGTCTTGCCACCATATATATATAGAATATGAGAGGTGTGTTTTTGCTTGTGAGATGTTAGTAAACTGCTAATTAATTTGTATTTTAGTAGCATACTCTACACATTAATTGTAAAAATAATTTGTAAAATAAGACATGAATAAAGATTTGTATTTCAATAATTCTAACTACATTTTTTGGCACGGATCTGTAGGCTTTAAGAAGATCAGTGTTTGCCTGTCAGGGATTTGCTCAGATTTTACATAAATCACAAGACACACTGACTATTTGCAGGCCATTGAAAACAAAACAACTGAAAACATGAACAGTAATAATTTCTCGCAAACAGAACCTTAATTTCCCAAAATAACCTGTATTTTCTTTTTTTCTTATAATACACAATTCAGTCAGGATCATTAGGACATTGTACTGTGAATTTTACCTGTGCTCCAGGTTACTGGCAAAACTTACAAGGGTGTAAGGTAATAGGCTTTCAAATCCGCCCCCTCCCACTCTGGCTGGTATACTCTTAGTTAGTACATGGGGGCATGTATTTGTTAGCCAGATGTTTAACCCTGGGTAAATTTACAAGCTTTTTTTTTTTTAACCAGCATCATAATATATTTCATAATTACAATATAGTATAAGAGCAGTTACAGTAGTATTAGCAAGAAATGTGGGTTTATTTTCAAATAAAATCATTGTGTTTTTTTTTGTTTTGTTTTTTTTTTTTTTTTTTTTAAATCATCCTGTTATGCAAAAGAATCCAATCAGACCAGAGGGGGAAACGGGGAGCGACCAGCTTCAGACCAGCTTGTATTCGGACAGCATCTGGCTGAAGAATGTGTTTCCCTGAACCACACCATGACGGCATAATCATTACCACAGACACGCTGTACGGCGCCCCCGTGCCGTTCGGCTTAGCTTTCATTTAGACATTTCTTTCCGTGTAAGGCCTCGAGGCTCCCGAAAGCTGGACTGGAAGCACAGAGAGCCCACCGGGGCGGGGCGGGGTGAGGGGTGCAGACTGTAATGGGGATATACTGGTGCGTGGTCCGTACCCGTCCTCTGGCTTTTTGGGTAGATGCTGCATACATCCTAACAGCCCAGCATTAGCCTTGACAAATGCCCATAATTGCTTCCATGAAACATTCACTTTAGTAATTATGCCTGACTGCAGTAATTAAAATAAAATCTCTGTTGGTTACTGCGATCAGCTTTATTTCTGAAACTTTTTTTTCCTGTTATCTCTGGCATAATGACTAGTCATAATGACTGGCAACATTTTCTGTAGTAAAGTTAATTGTGCAGATGAACAGAAATAATGACCACCAAGTCACCGAAGCTGAATATGGCTACTAAACAACACACAGAATCTGAACCCTGGGCATTTTTACAAGAGAAATTAAAAATATTAAAACCCAATATTCAAAAGAATCTTAAAAAGTCCACACAATTCAAAAACAGTTGACTTTTTTTTTTTTTTTTGCACTCGTATGAGACATGGACTGAACAGTGACCCTGGTTTCCCCATCTTTGTGGTAAACGGCCAATACACAGAGCAGAGAAGCAGTACATCTCTTTAAAATCTCTTTTTTGGCAGGCGCTGGCCGCCCATACCTTAAAGCCCCGTCCTGCACTCTGTTCCCAAGGCCGCAGAAGCCATTTCAGTCATACATTTCCGCTTTTCACCACTAGGCGAATGACGTTAGCAGTCCCTGCTTCTGTGCGCCATGGCCGTCATGTGGGATTCACTTAATTAATCGTCAATTCTGGATTAAAACCCCGGCAGTTAAAAAGCCACCAGTCCGTAGGCGTACAAAATAGTACCAGGGTCTAAGGGGAAGCAACTGGTACATAACTCTGTCATAAATAATTTACAGAGCTTCCAAATAATAAATTAAGAAATTAATAAATAAACAGGCAGGCAGGCAAACATCAACAAACGTTATGAAAATGTAGCCAGAATCCCTTTGTCCAGCTGCCAATAATCCACCATTTTGCACCACCTCAGAGCTGCTATTCTTCTCCTCAATGCTAATCCACTTGAGATTCCCTTAGGGGGGAATGAGAACATGGACGAGTCAGACTCCACGGCTGGGTTAGTTAGACGACGGCGGGCGCTGGACGGGGCTGCCCGACTGGAATCAGCGGCGTGTACGTGTGACTCGGAGAGGCCGAGTGGTACTTCTCCCGGACGTGGGTGTAGTATCTGGATGGGTTTCCTGGGATTGAGGACCATCGTGGACGCTAGAGTGAAGCGAGGGGAGCGTGTCAAGCACAGCTACTAAAACAGGTGCCATCAGCAGCAGAAAAGGTGCTTTAACAGAACGCTTCTTAAGCTTGAAGTGAATCTCTCTGCCATACAAAGGGTCTAAACCTTAAAAGGCAAATATACAGGACAAAGGGCCCCTCGCCATCTCAATATTTTACTCGCTCATCGAACCGCCCGGTCCGCTTGGGTCAGGTGGCTCGTTAAATACGACTGGATGAGCACCATGACGCTTTCCGTCTTTCTGAGCTCCTTTGTGGCCAAAAAATAACAAACGCATTTGTCCTGCAGGAAGCGTGGGCACATCCAAGCGAAACAGAGGCATTATGAGAGCAGTGCGGAGGATGTGGCGAGATGTGGTGCGGCACAGTGTTGGCGTGAGCGCGGCTACGCGGGGTAGAGTCACAGCACGGTGGCGTTGTGCCCTTCCATCTTAGGCAGCCTGGGGTCCTGCAATGTGGCCGTCCCCATCGTAACAAGCAATGGCCGGCTGTCCTCCGGGACGCCCAGCCGCGCCATGGATACGGGCCTCTGGGAGGCGGGCGCTGGGGGTGGAGGCGGTGGCGGAGGGGGCGCGGCCTGAGCCGCGAGGGGCTCCATAGGCAGGCCCTGCTCCTGGTAGCCGTAACCGATGTTTCCGCAGGGGAAGCGGCGCAGTCTGAAGAGAGGCACGGGAGGAAGGGATGCCGAATCCAAAAGGAGTGGGGCGGCCATGGGGGCGGGGGGGGGCGGGGGAGGGAGCAGCGGCCGACAAAGGCCTTGATGCTGCTGCTGCTGGAGCAGCTGTTTGTGCTGGAGTTGCAGCCCGGCAGCCTCCCCCACAGTCCGGCCCCCATGCTCCTGCCCCTCTCCCAGGGCCCTGCCCACCACCTGCCTCTGCTGCCTCCGCTGCTGCTGCTGCAGGAACCAGGAGCCATACGTAGGGTTCCACAGGTTGGTGGGCTTGCCGTTGCGGCCCTCCTTGTCAGGGGGCTGGCCCTGCGTGAAGCCCAGGTTGACATGGCCGCCCTCGGCGGCAGGTTGGGCAGCGGCGGAGACGGGCTTGGCAGCCGCTGCCGGCACCTGCGGCACCTGGAGGTGTGGGTAGCAGGGTGGAGGGGGGGCCGCTCCCAGGGCGGGTGGAAGTTCAGGACCTCCGGCTGGTTGAGGGCACTGAGGGGCCTGACTGGGCTGTAGCGGCACGTCCGCCTCCATCTTACACTCCCCCGTGGGAGCTGTCTCCTGTCCCGGGACACAAACCAGCAGCGAGGGGGTAGTGGGATCTTCGGGCCTCATCGGCACACGCTCCTCCTCTTCAGGGAGGGGGCCGTACTCTACGGGGAGGGGCACGGACACCACATCCGGGTCCTGGATAGGGGAGAAGGTGGGACCGGGTGATGGACACTTTCAGTCACTTAAGTCAGGCGGCCATAGGTAATCTCTGGCATGCGAGAGTGACGGCTGGCCGACCTGTAAGCAATAGTCGATCCTCTCCAGGATGGTGGAGAAGTTCGGTCTGTCCTCTGGTTGATGCTGCCAGCTCTGTGTCATTATTCTGTAACTGCATGGGTGCACATGCACAATTCAGTGTCAGAATGCATACAGGACACACTGATGTATACCGGCCATTTTACATTTCGGTGTTTAGGTCACCATTTTGGGTGAACACATACGTCAACAACAGTTTGTAAGTCACACTAAAACAGGGTCTGAATAGTTAGAATATGTATCCTTGCGCAACTCCGAATATGTTACGCTTTAAAAATTTGCTGTCGGTGGTAATGCGCTGACATTTTCAGGTTCGGGTCTAAATCAGCATCTTCTTTCTGTGCCATGTGACAAACTCTGGTACAGTTGCGAGCCGCAAAGCGCTTGTAGCGACAGACTGTAGGAGGCGATGTCTCAACCTGAACCACAGCGGCAATGGAACATGCACTCACACGGGCCCGGGGCAGTTCTTAGGGGGGTCCATCCTGCCCCCATTGGTGACGAATTCCAGCACCTCCTGGTTGCTGCGACTGGGGTACGGCATGTAGCCCAGGGAGAAGATCTCCCAGAGCAGCACGCCGAAGGACCTAAACTCGCCGCAGACATGAGGAGGGAGGGACAGGGGTAGCACTTAAGGTGGAGGACGGGAATGAAGAGCACGCTGCACAAGGCAGACGGTGACAGCAGCAGTGTGAATCTGAGATCTGATACTGAGAAAAATGCCTTAAGCAAGTTCTGGATGAATCGGTTATGGAGCGTGTTGTTATTCTGAAACTCCCTAGATGGCATGTCTGGCGATTGTGAATAACTATGATGAGAAGCTCCGTCAGGCTCTCTCTCCAGGCCCTGCCCCTCATGGGCACCATGGAACACATTGATTAGAGACGATGCTAACAGGGCAAGCTAAGATTAGAGTGATGCTAACAGGAGCAGACGGGGGAGCAGACAGAAGGGGGCGGGGAGAGCGTCCTTGGGGACACACAGATAGTCATGTGATCTGCATGTCTGGGTTAAGCTTGCTGTGTGTGTGTGTGTGTGTGTGTGTGTGTGTGTGTGTGTGTGTCTGTCTGTCTGTCGTCTGTCTGTCTAAGTGTAGGCATGTATATATTTGTGGGGATCAAATGTCCCCACAATTTAATAAAAATCTGTTGTTACTTTGACCTTGTGGGAACTATTTTTTCAATCCCTACAAGGGGAAACTCAGTTTTATAAAAATCTGTGACTGCAATCAAACTAAAAATGCCAGAAGTCTTGTAATTTGTTTGGTTACTTATGCTTAAGGTTAGGGCTGGGTAGGGTACAGAGTACAGGTCTGTGTGTGCATGTGTGCGTCCTCACCAGGTGTCCGTCTTGGAGGTGAAAATTCCCTCCATGAAGGCTTCAGGGGGCATCCACTTGACGGGCAGCATCGCCCTGCCACCCTTCCTGTAGTAACTCGCCCTATGGGATGGCACAGGCATGTGCACACACGCACACGCACACGCACACACATGCATACCGACATCAGTCAGCTTCTCGGAGGTTCCATCCCTTACAGCACATTACCTGCAGACAGCACCAGAGAGGGCATGACCAGATCTCCTCATAGAATAACAATGATGAGAGGCGGACTCGCAGTCCCACCGCTGTTGCCATGGCAACTAGCTCTCGCGCTTATCAATTAGGAGACAGATTCCATTTCACTACCCATATTTTCAGATTTTTTTTACGCTCGCAAGCCACCCTTATTTCGAGAAACGCATCATGAATACAGACATTTCTGCGATTTACATAACCTCACTTCACACTTCGTGTTGCATTCCTGTTTCCTGCTCCCCCCCCCCCCCCCCCCCCCCCCACCATAACATCTATTTCTTTAAGAGCCAGTACTCTACACTGTAATTATATTTGTGAGTTCCATGTCTCTGGGTTTACTCCACGACTGCGTTATCACCAGCCTTCTCAGCGCAGCACTGGACTCGACGCCCAAACTTCCCCACTACGTACAGCTAGCGGCTGCTTTATGAGCGACCCGCAGCTGGTACTGCGTGGGCCCCGGGAGCTGGAGTAGGAGTTGGGTGCCGAGAGAAGCTGCTCTGCACATTCTGAAGGACACGGACTGACAGCAGTAAGAGGAATCTGCCTGACTGGTGGGACCGTATACGTATCACGGTCTTCGCCGTCTAACAGCACAGAAACTCAGAGTGGGGAGGTTGATAAAAGACAAAGAGTTGAGCGAAGTCTCCCGTTTTCTGTGTTACACAACCCTTCTCTATGTCTGTCACCTGGGAGACATTTAAGGTGTCAGGGGTGCGTTAGACCACCAGAGGAGGGACGTAACCCTATGAACTTACATGTAAGGCACTGAAATGAAGGATAGGCCACAGGAAACACAGGAGTGGCAGACAAAGAGAGGATCAGACACTGAACTAAGGGTTAAGGAAATTGTTATAGGGTTAGATCCCACAGTATTGTGCTCTGAACCATACTGTAATGGGGATAATGTCATTAAAGGAGTTAATTAATTCATTAAATAATGTTCACGCTGTACGTCCTCTTCAAGAAAATCAAGTGTCCATCAAGCAGCTGTGAGATTTATGGTCAGGTGAGGACACAGTCAGACAGAATTATTCTTTGTCCCGCATGAATAGTCGGCAGTGTCTGGCTCCGATGGCTGGGACAGAGGGTCAGAGTGCGTCACACATCACGAGGAACGTGACGGAAAACACGCCAGGGCAAGAAGCCTCTAGAGCACTCTCAGCATGAGACAGGAAATCAGCTCCGGCAATTAAAAGCCGCTCTTATTGTATTAATCCCTGAGGAATTGTGCAATTCGAATGCCTTCCAATTTTGTGCCACATTATTCTTTTTTTTTTTTTTTTACAGATATTTCAGGAAATTGGCAGATGTTGCAGTTTGTTTCAAATGTTGATGGTTAGTTGTGGCCTCTGGGTACCCAGATGCATACAGGTGTTTGAAGAACACAGCAGTAAAGTGTGGGATGCAGTGAAAGGTCCCTGTCAGACTCACAGCCCAGTTCCTCATCGACAGTGATCCCACGCCACCATGCATACCTGTATATATCTCTGGCCATCCCAAAGTCTCCGATCTTGGCCACTCTTCCCGGCCCTTTGCACGTCAGCAGGCAGTTACGGGCCGCTATATCCCTGTAGGACGGCAGGAAAAACCCGACTTAAACGCTGACAGCTGTCTGCCACAAAGAGGACCCCGATGAATTTCTGCGGGCTTGGAGAGTTGGCTGGCGCAACCTCGGAAGCCATCATCCCGGAGGCGGCCCTGAAGGGGCTGTCCATAAAGCGGAGAAGGCCCAAGGACGTGAACAGATACTTCATGCAGATTGGGCTGAGCGTAGAAAAGCATCCCCCCGCTGCCCGCCTGGAACCATTAGGCGGATTGATGATTTTATTGCACATGTTTCTGAAATGAGGCTTAATTGTCCTCATTTGTCATGGGGGGGCCTGTAGGATTTGAAGTTCAGGAGTGGAAACTTTAGCTGCAGGTACTGAGATTGGGAGTGGGGGGGGGGGGCAGCATCAGGCCCGTACAGCAGAGGTGTCCTATCGAGCCAGATCCTTAACCTCCTGAAAAATGCCCCAGGGGTCCTGGGTGGGTGGCCGACTAAGCTTCACACTCACCTTTATATGTGTTTGTGTCTTTAAAAAGGAGAGCATGATGGGATACATGGGGGAAAGCACATTGCAATATATCTGTTCTTGTACAAACGCAAATAAAGCTTAATTTCTTTTCATTTCATTGAAACGCTTAAGAGCTTTCAATGTATTTCTCTGCAAAAGCTAGGTTTACATTACACTCTCTTAAAATGTGAACAATCTCCAGTCCCTGGTCATAAACACTCATTCAGCATAATGAAATTGGACTATATTTGAGTGGTTGTTGAGTTTCATCTAATGCAATGTTCTTTTAGAACGTGGGTGTACCTGTGGATGAACTGGTTCTCCTCCAAGTACTGGCAGCCCCGAGCTATGTCTCGGGCCACGTTCAGCAGGTCCACCATGTTCAGGCTGGAGGGCTGGTCCTGTGTGTCGAGGCCAGATGTTAGGCCGCTTAGATGAGGTCGGCTGGCCACAAGAGCTACGCTTAGGTCTGTGTCGGGGCGGGACTTACCACTCTTGGTCGGGTCTCTCTGAGGAAGCTCTTTAGGTCTCCTCCTGCCATGAGCTCCAGCAGAATGAAACGCGGCAGGGCTTGCAGACTGACGCCAATGCAGCACACGATGTTCTGGTGGTTGAACTTACTGTTGGAGGTAAATCGGTTTAGCCCAAGGGTGCCTGAACCGTCAATTGTGGCGTATTTACAGGTCGATTGCGAGATGATTAATGGGTAATGCTTTATTTCACTGGTGGCCAACTGGTCGATTGCAATCGGCAAAATGTACTAAGGGGGACCACCAACCCCTGGACTGTCAAAATATATTGACGGCCCCCAACCCAATGATGGTGTAACATACCATCGTGATCCGGTAGCCCATCAGAGTATTTTCTTTGTAAAGGTAAAGTAAAAATTTCTAAAACCAAGGACCCTTGAATGAAAGTAACTAAGGACTAGCTACTAATGTTTTATGTTAATAAAATCTCAAGATCAGTTTAAAATATGCTCTATGGCGCCTCCTGTTGTAAAGCAAATGGCTCACTTTAGATGACAGGACAGTCTACTCTACACCATTATGTGTGGATCTGCTTATGTATTTAGATGTAGGACGGTGTAATGAGCATGTAACTCACCTGATGATCAGAGCCTCCATGAGGAAGTCTAACTCGTCCTGCTCAGAGCAAACCTCAGGAAGGGTCTAATGAAGGCACAGGGGATTGTGGGAACATACTCAGTGGTGGATGGTAAGTATCCATCACTGGCACATTACACTCTTTCCAACAGAGTATGGATGCCAGCTATGAACAAGGCGATTTAACTGAGAATTATTAAGCCCGGCCAGATTTATGGTTGTTTTCACAACAGCTGGCGTGCCATTTTCGGAAACCAATGATAAAAACATTCATGAAACCCTTAGGAAACGCCCGGGGGGGGGGCTTCCTTACCTTTACGGCCACCTGCATTGGGCTTGGCTCTCCAGGTATCCCTACTGCAAGACCCTCATACACCTCTCCAAACGCACCGTGGCCCAAACCCCTGTACGCACACACATGTGTGGGGGAAAAGCAGCTTTGTTATCTACTGTTTTGTACAGCCTTCGGTAGAACTAAAAATCCTGGTTAACGGGCTAATTTATGGCCCCACCCCTGACATGAACTAAGTGTCCACACACAGCTATGAAGGTTTGGGGTCAGAATGTGGGTGGTCTCAAGGGGTCTGGCTCATGGGTGTTTTAGAGAGATAACCAGTGAAGCAGTAGATGAGGTGGGTCCAACCTATCAGATGTCTTGGTCCTAAGTCTTGGTCTCTCCAAACCAATCATTGTTATATCTGCTCTCAGAACTTTTTTGTGTAAGTAGAACTCCCACTAGCGTGGCTCTGCCTGTAAGCGGAAGGTCGCCAGCTCAAATCTAAGGGTTGGAAGAGTGATTTCACTATTGGGCCAATGAGCAAGGTCCTTAACTGTCTGTCTCTAGCTTCTTGCAAAACTGCACATCACTTTGGATATACAGTAAGTGCCTGCTAAATAAAATAAAACATAAATAGTTTCCAGGAATCTGAGAGATCCCCAATGGCTGAGCTCTAACGGATGAGCCACCTGGTGAGCGAGATGTTGCGGCGTGGAATCTCCTTCAGGTCGTTGACGGATGCCGTCTTGCCAGCGAAACAGTAGTTGGGGTTGTAGTCGGTCATGATGGTGGAGGCCCTCAGCTTGCTGAGTTTGCAGTCGGGACTCTGCAGCTCCAGCTGGATGGACTGCAGCTCTGTATGCTTGCGTCTGTACACTGGCGACACGCACATGTGAATTCGATCAGATTATGGGGGGGGAGCTGGGGGGGGGGAGCTCCGGAGCCAAGGAAGGTGCCCTGACCTCGGCTGTAAACACCCAGGTTTAGATATCGGCGTATTTATTTATCAAACTTTAATGGACGAGCACTGTCACACAGCCGTTAACTAGCAATCCATCTTCGGAGGGTTTCATTCATTACCGGTGCTGGCACAAGCCAGCCGCTGTAAATCAGAGCCGTGCGGTGTGTGGGTGAGGGTGATAAGGCCCTGCGGCCAGCCCCCAGCGCCTGAACGGGGGCACGCCGCCCTTTGCATGTCTTTCTGCATGTATTCGTGCTTTCTCTGCCTGTTTTGCTTGTCTCCAGTGGTTGTACATGGGGGCGGGGCCACAGGGACATTGACCCAAGCTGAAGGCTGATTGGTCCCTGGAGTGACCCCTCCCCTGTCACTCACCAATTCAAAACATATCATTGGCTAATAAGGTTCACCCCTCTGTATGAATTACAGTATGACCTCTCCTCAAACAATTCTCCTGGGGTACCCAGGAGCATGTTTGCGAGTGCGTGCGCAGGAAACTCACTGATCATGACGCCTGATACAGCCAGAAGCAGGGCAGCGATGAGGGCAGAGGTGCCCACCGAGAGCCCCAGGGCCAGCTGGGGGTGCAGCACTGAATTATCTGAGGAATAAGAGGAGGTAGAGCGGAGGGGGGGGGCATCAGTGCAAGGAAGACGTCTACAGAATACAAAGCCCTAATGCATCACCTCGCTAACCCACACAGGACCCTACAGGGCAGGAAATACAAACACGCTCGTCTGAAACACTGACACGGGAAAGAAGCCGTGCCCCCCCAGCCCGGGCGGGAATCTTAATTAAAATCTTTTTGTCCCCCCCCCCCCCACATTATATTCATAATTATTTTTATTGATGATGTTACAAGCACTGCAAAACACCACCATTTGTTTATTGAGCGATTTAATTACGGATTCTCAGAGTGGCCAAGAGTTGCAGGGATGAAAGAGGGAGCCATGAAAAGTCAATCATAAATCTCTCTGGCAGGATCTCTGTGTTCCTCAGCGGGAACGTCTCTCAGGCACGGCCACGACAGTTTTATAAGCTCTCTGGCTGCACCAGTCATGGTAGCACATAAATATAAATTGAGTTATTAGCCCATTAATGACCAAATGCTGATTAAGAGCACAGTGTACCTTAATTAGACAATCTTACTGTCATCTTTTATTCTTCAAAACAACCACACTGAGCATGTGACTTTGCAATAGATGAGATAGTATAACTACACCAAGTGCTCCGGAATAGGTTTATAGCCCGTAGGGCAGCGTGGCTACAGGGTGCTGGGCCCGAAAGCCAGAGGTCGAAGGATCAAGAACCGTCCTCTGCTAAAGGGTCGCGGTTGGACGTCCCTCTAAATTTCATTTGAGATTTTCCCCCTGGGATCAGTGAAGTCCATCTAATGTAGCTAAAAACATTAATACAGCAGGACCTATGCAGCAGCTACTTATACAACGTTGTAGGTCTTAAAAACCCAGGTAAGGATCAGGTTAAATCAGGGGTGTCCAACGCCAGTCCTGGAGGGCCGGAGTCCTTTCTGCTTATCTAACGCCTTCTGCTGGCCCAGACGCACTACATTTATAAGCAGGATTCAATATAGTCAAGGCCACACAGCTCTTGAGCTGAATCATTTGTGGGGGAACAGGGAAAGAACTAAGCTACACAGGGCTCCGGCCCCCCAGGACCGCAGTTTGACATCCCTGGGTTAAATCATTTAAGTAATGTACCCATATGTTATTTGGATGTATATGCATTGTGATAATTCACTGTTGCTTACTTATTCATGCTGGGTCCCTGATCTGGTTCAGCTTATACATCAGATCTGCTCACATCCTACCTTTCTGACCCAACATCTGCACCAGGAACAGCCCTGAATGACCATCACCACAAAAGGTTCCCGGGTCCCAGGCTACCTGTGGTGTTGACACAGGACACCCCGTCAGCGGCCAGCTCAAGGTCCTCCTCGCAGAAGCACACGACATCATCGCCGCTCTCATGGCAATCGCCGGTCTCGCAGTGGCTACAGTTCAGCACGGGCGAGATAACGACCTCCCCGTGACCCTCGATCCCTGATGGACGCCAAAACAAGAAGGAGACTGGGTCAGCTGATCGACCACCTGCTGCTGTTTGAGAAACCTGTTTAAAAATGTGGACAGACGAGGGGTCTCATTTATCAAAGTGTCCATAGAACAAGTCCTAAATGTCTGCATGCCAATCGGCAGTAAGCACAGGCAAATCGGTATTTATCACTCGTGCATATGAACAGCCAGAAGAAGTGAACGTTGATAAATCTCACGCATTCTAAACGTGTTTGCGCGTGCACGGCAAGATAAAAAAAAATTTAACGCCCCCACGGGACCATATATGGGCATATAACTTACACATTAACACATGACGAACCGCACAACAGGAGAAGGTGCTGGAGAAATGGAAATAGTTAAGAGACATACACTTATGTCCTTATTCATGTTTGTAATGTATTTCATAATATATGCTTGTATTGTTAATTTGCAACTGTGTTTTGTTATTACAAAATAAACTATGCACTCGTAGTCTCTGGGATAGGCTCCGGACCGACCTTGAATAGGATAAGCAGTTACAGGAAATAGATGGATGGATGGATGGATCAAGAAAAATAATATTTAAAAAAATCAACATTAAGAGGGGGGAAAGCAGAACTTCACCTATAATGGAGGTGGAAGTATTGCTATGTAATAGAAGAAAAAAAAGCAATAGGTACTATTTGGCAACTTTACCAGCGGGCTGTCAAAGAAAGAGAGGGACCCAGCATGGGGACAGGTGACATGCAGTTAATGCTGCGTCACCTGTAATGAAAACGGCAGCAGATGTAAGGAAGAAGTGGGTTTATCTGAAAATGACCACCACCGATCGCTGCCTGCAGATCCCATGTCCGTGCCGCAGGGGGTGGCCCAATCCCCTTGTCACCTCTGCATGGTAAAATAGCTGCCATTATAAGCAAAATGTCCCTAACAGGACCCATTCCAGATGGAGACACTGACAGAGCCGCTCCGTCGCCCATGGATGAGGCCGGGCTAACAGAAGCAGGTAAGAGGCTTCTGTGTTTTAACAGGCTGCAGCAATATAGTGTGTTTACAGTGCTACGGTTGTTCTCTGCTGCGAGGGGTTTGTGCGTACGCATAGTCGGAAGTATTCATAAATATACAGTGGTACCTCAGTTCGCGAACTCATTAGAACTCGAATTTCTTAAAAGTCGAACCAACCAGTTCGAAAAAAATTACCTAGTACTCGATCTGAATCTCAGAAGTCAAACCGTAAACGCCGACCCAAGATAACTTGTATGCGCGGGGAAATGAGTCTCCCACGTCTCTCAGCGGAAACAAAGGGTAAAGCTTCAGTCTCAGCCTCCCATTTGCTGTGAGAGCATCCTGCATGTTTACACTAGCTGAATATATATAAATAAATACATTTAGACAATGATAGACAGTAACAGTAATTATCCTTATGGGTTCGAGTGCATCGTCGGCGACCGCAGCATACTTTTCGCGTCTATTTAACTTTATATCTCGCTGAAATCTTTATGTAGAATCATGAAAAAAAAAACGCTGGTTAAATCTGTAATCTGTCTTCTTTTTCTATTGTTGGAAGTATTAAAGATTTTTAAATTAGGTTAAATCGGCAAAAAGTAAACCATGTCACCTTACTTTAATTGTTTTATCTGCATCCTGGGGCGTGTAGTACCGCTGTCACCCGAAGATCGCTATTCACATTCTAAATAGCCGCATTAGCGCGTATTCAAATCGCATTAGCACGGTAATCAGATGAACAACGCAGCGGTGAAACGCGATCCAGATACATCCCCGTCAGCGCCATAAAAGGGGGGGGGGGAACGTGGCCAGGTGTCAATGGCTCATTCATACACATGACAGTTGCTACATATTCAATGAAAGGAGCCAGAAATAGTGACATGAGTTAGCTTTTTCTTATTTATTTATCCAACCGAACGTTGTAACTACACCATTTAGTTACCTTCATGTAGCCAAGACTTTGGTGATCAGATATCTGGGATCAAAACAAACTGCCAGCATTGCTTATTATGTACTTATAATGTTTCTGCAAGTGTTCCAAACTGCATTTTGCAATGTCTATACTTTGATGTCAAATTACAAGCTTAACAAATCTGACATATTTACAAAATACATTAAAATAAAGAGGAGTGTAATGGCAAAACAAATATATAAGCAATTATTTGCCATGAATTACGTTTATGATATTTGAAGAAATGTGTGATCATGCCCCAGTCAGAGAAAGTGTGTTTCCTACCCCTAGACCCCAGAGGGTTAAATAATACATTTTAAAATAAATATTTCTTATTAATTATTTTAATATTAATAAACCATGAATACATTTAATTATAATGATATTGTCGAGCCGAGCGGGGACGGAACGGAGACAAAGGCGCACACGTCAGGGTATCGGGGAATACTGGGGGGTATTCCACGAAGCAGGATTAAGGGAAAGTCTGACTTATTTCGACAAGTCAGTCTTACTTAAGTGAGAGTTCCGTTCCATCAACGTGTCTTAGATGAATTCCCGCTGAATTACCATGGTAATTTATACCTGTGAACAAGCCTGCTCCGGACCAGGCTAACTGTCTCGCTTAGTTTATAGTGATGGCTGATTCGTGAACGAATCGTTCTTTTTAACTCGGTTTTTTTAGTGAACGGGTTGAACCGATTCGTAAGTCTGAACGAATCGGTTTTTTAAATTATTTTAAAACGTTTTTAAAACTGATCTTTGGCTATTCAACATCCAAAAGCATCCCCCGCAAGTTCGGATTTATTTTTCATGTTCCGTC